AACTGGGAACTGGGATGGGATTTGGGATCTGGGATGGGAACTGGGAACTGGGATGGGATCTGGGATCTGGGATGGGAACTGGGAGCCGGGATGGGATTTGGGAGCTGGGATGGCAGTGTGGATGTCACTCCCACCATTCCCGGTGTGAAACCCTCGCTGTGCTGTTCCCACTGGGTGCCAGGAAGGCTGCTGGGATGGGTGCTGGGGTCAGCACCCTGCTGTGTCACCTGCTGTGTCACCCCACTGTGTCACCTGCTGTGTCACCTGCTGTGTCACCTCTCTGTGCCACCCCGCTGTGTCACCTGCTGTGTCACCTCGCTGTGTCACCTCGCTGTGTCACCCCACTGTGTCACCCCGCTGTGTCACCTGCTGTGTTCCCTGCTGTGTCACCTGCTGTGTCATCCCGCTGTCCCCTGTGGTGTCACCCTCTGTGTCACCCGTCTGTGCCATCCCACTGTCCCCCGTGGTGTCACCCGCTGTCCCCGTGGTGTCACCCGCTGTCCCCTCCCCGCAGGTCCCGGCTCCCTGGGCCGCTGTTTCAGCGCGTGGCAGTGCCAGGACGGCGCCGGTGGCCGCAATGGCAGCGCCATGAGCCGCGCCGAGTGCTGCCAGCACCCCTGGGGACACAGCTGGCGCGGCGGGGACAGCGGGGGACCCTGCCTGCCCTGCACCCGCCTGCCCCTGGGCGGGGACGGGGGGTCCCGGCGCCACCGCAGCCCCCCGGCCACGTGCCAGGCCTGGGCCGGGACGCGCTTCCGCACCTTCGACGGGCGGCACTTCGGCTTCGCCGGCTCCTGCCGGTACAGCCTGGCCACGGCCACCGACGGCACCTGGGACATCACCGTGGGGCTCGGACACCCCCGGGTACCAGACACCGGCGGGGGGACGCGGGGGGCACCCAGAAACCCAGCCGGCCCCGAACCGGGCTGGGCTGGATAACGGGGACGGGTGACAACAACACCGGGATGTCACCATCGGCCTGGGACACCTGGGGGGGACAGGATGGGTCACTTGGGGTCACTGGTCCTGTTCCCAGAGCTGGAGGGGGGGCTGGGAATTGGGATGGGAACTGGGGTAGGAACTGGGATGGGAACTGGGGATGGGAACTGGGATGGGAACTGGGATGGGAATTGGGATGGGAATTGGGATGGGAACTGGGATGGGAATTGGGATGGGAACTGGGATGGGAACTGGGATGGGAACTGGGATGGGAACTGGGCTGGGAACTGGGATGGGAACTGGGATGGGAACTGGGCTGGGAACTGGGATGGGAATTGGGATGGGAACTGGGATGGGAACTGGGATGGGAACTGGGATGGGAACTGGGATGGGAACTGGGATGGGAACTGGGGTAGGAACTGGGATGGGAATTGGGGTGGGAACTGGGGTGGGACCTGGGATGGGAACTGGGGTGGGAACTGGGATGGGAATTGGGATGGGAATTGGGATGGGAATTGGGGTGGGACCTGGGATGGGAACTGGGGTGGGAACTGGGGTGGGAGATGGGGTGGGAACTGGGATGGGAATTGGGATGGGAATTGGGGTGGGACCTGCGATGGGACCTGCGATGGGTTTGGGGTGGGAGCCGGGCTGTCACGGCCACGGCTCCATCCCTGGTGACCGTGACACACGTGAGTGCCCCACCCCGCTGTCCCTGCCCCTCCTGAGTGTCCCGGTGCCACCCCCGGGCCGCAGGTGCTGCTGATGACGTTCGGGACGGCCGCGGTGGTGGCCGAGGGACGGAACGTGTCGGTGAACGGGGCGGCGGTGCCGGAGGGACGCCCGTACCTGCACAAAGGTGAGGTCCCCCGAGGCCGGCAGGGTGGGGATGAGCCCCGGGTGACACCAGGACACGGTGATCGATCGGAGTCCCCGGCGCAGGGCTCGGTGTCACCTGGCCGGGTGACTGGGTGGCCGTGGCCAGCAGCCTGGGCGTGCGGGTGGCCTGGGACGGTCACCTGGCAGTGACGGTGACAGCAGAGCCTGAACTGCGCGGTGCCACCTGGGGGCTGTGCGGCACCTACACCGACGACCCTGCAGGTGAGTTCCACTCTCCCAGTGCCGCCCCCGCCCCACCTGGGGGCCGGGGGGACAGCCCACATGTCCCCTCTGTCCCCCCTGTCCCCCCAGACGATTTCGTGCGCCCCGACGGGGCCATCGCTGCCTTCGCCGCCGCCTTTGGCAACTCCTGGAAGGTGCCGGTGGCTGCCACGGAGGTACCGGAGGGGTCGCGGTGACGCCCCCGCGCCCGTTCGGGGGTCCCCGGGGGTCTCCCCCGCGCTGAGGGACCCCCGGCTCAGCCCCCGTGCAGGGACGTGCCGGAGGGGGACACCGCGTGTGGCCCGGGTGAGGTGGCACCGGCGGTGGCCACGTGCGGGCTGCTGCTGGCCCAGCCCTTCCGGCAGTGCCACGGCGAGGTCAGCGGCACCGGGGGGACCCGGGGGACTCGGGGGGTCCCGGGGGGTCTCGGCGGGTGCTGGGGAGGGGTCCTGAAGGGTTCTGTGTGGTCCCAGGGCTGTCCTGGGAAGTACTGGGGGGCTCCTGGGAGTTCCAGGGGATCCCAGAGTCGTTCCGGGGTGTCCTGGGGGCTCCCAGGGGTTTCTGGGGGGGTTTGGGGGCGTCCCGGGGGGTTCTGGAGAGTTCCGGGGAGTCCTGGAGCTTCCTGTGGGGTTCTGTAAGATCCCAGGGGCTCAAGGGGGCTCAGGAGTCCTGGGGCGTCCTGAGGGTCCCAGGGGACTCTGGGAGGTCCTGGCAGGTCTGACAAATTCCGGGGGGTTCTTGGGCATCCGGAGGGGGTCCTGGGGGTCCTGGGGCGTTCTGGGGAGCCTGGGAGGATCCTCACCGCTGCTCCCCACCCGCAGGTGGACCCCAGCGGCTTCTACGCAGCGTGTGTGGCACTGCTGTGCGGGGACAGGGACCCTGTGTCCCCTCCCGGTCCCCTGTCCCCCCCCGGTCCCCTGTCCGGTCCCCTGACACCCCCCGGTCCTCTGTCCCTCCCCGATCCCCTGTCCCCCCCCGGTCCCCTGTCCGGTCCCCTGTCCCCCCCCGGTCCCCCGCCCCCCGCCGCCTGTGACACCTTCGCCGCCTACTCCCGGGAGTGCTCCCGCCGCCAGCTCCACGTCCCCTGGCGCCAGCCCGGTCTCTGCGGTAGGAACCGGGGGGTCCCCTCCCCTTCCCGTCCCCGCCGTGCCGCCGGTGCCATGGCGGTGTCCCCGCCCCGCAGAGCGCCGCTGTCCCCCGGGCCAGCGCTTCACCGACTGCGTGTCGCTGTGCCCGGTCACCTGCGGCACGGCGGGCGAGCAGGGCCCGTGCCACCGGCACTGCCACGGCGGCTGCCAGTGCGGCCCGGGGCTGGCCCGGGACGGCCCGAGCTGTGTCCCCGCCGCCGCCTGCCCCTGCCACCACCGGCGACAGCGCTACGAGCCCGGCCAGAGCATCCGCCAGCGCTGCAACCGCTGGTGGGTGGCACCGCGGTGACAGCGGTGACACCGGGCTGGCACCCTCGGGGGGGGAGTGGGAGCCGCTGGTGGGCAGCCCCAGGGTCCCCTTTGGGGTGTCCCACCCCATCCCGGGTCCTCCGTGATGTCCCCTCACCCCGGGGTCCCTGTGGCGTGTCCCCCTTTATCCCAGGTTCCCTGGGACGTGTCCCCTGCTACCCCCGTGTCCCCTGCGGTGTCCCCTCCGGTGTCCCCTACAATGCCCCCCGTGTCCCCTGTGCTGTCCCCTGCAGTGTCCCCGGTGTCCCCTGTGCTGTCCCCTGCGGGGTCCCCGTTGCCCCCAGCGGACCCCAGCGGGGGTGACGGGTGTCCCGGTGTCCCGGTGTCCCCAGCACGTGCGAGGGCGGCCGCTGGCGCTGTGAGCAGCAGCGGTGCCCGGCCGAGTGCGCGGTGCTGGGGGGACGTCACTTTGTCACCTTCGACCGCCGCCGCTTCTCCCTGCCCGCCCCCTGTGCCCACACGCTGCTGGAGGTGAGGGGACACGGGGACACGGGGACAGCAGGGTGGCCGCAGCGGTGACGGGGCGCTGCTCTGGCGGTGGCCGCGGTGGCAGGGCCGTGCCCGGGGGTGTCACCGCGTCTCTGTCCCCAGGACTTCGTGGCGGGGCGGCTGCTGATCACAGCCGAGCACGAGCCCTGCGACAGCCACCTCGGCTGTCCCCGCAGCCTCACTGTCACCACCAACCGCACCACGGCCCGGCTGCACGGCACAGGTGACACACGTGGACAAGACCGGGACAGGCACCGGGACTGGCACCATCCCCTGATGCCGTTATGGCAGCCGTGCCTGTCCCCAGTGTCCCCCTGCCCATCCCCAGTGTCCCCCTGCCCATCCCCCATGTCCCCACGGCGGTGGGTGACATCCCAGTGCCTGTCCCCAGTGTCCCCGTGGCACCTGGGGAGCCACTCCAGGGCCTGTCCCGGATGTTCCCACGGCCACGGGCCCCACCCCGGTGGCCGCCCCACGGTGCCACTGCTGTCGCCCTCAGGGGAGGTGACAGTGGCCGGGCGGGAGGTGACGCTGCCCTTCTCGGGCTCCGAGCTGAGCATCCGCCGCGCGTCCTCCGCCTTCCTGCACCTGCAGCTGCCCGACGCCCACATCCTCTGGGGCCTGGGGACCCCCGACACCTTCGTGACCCTGCAGCCCGCCATGGCCGGCGCGGTGAGCGGGACCCCCGGGACGGGCGGGACCCCCGGCGGTTCGGGACCCCCGGGACGGGCGGGATGCCCCGGCGGTTCGGGAACCCGGTGGGATGAGGCTCTGCCGGGCTCCGCCCTGCTCGGGACAGGTGCGGGGGCTCTGCGGGACCTTCAACGGGGACCAGCGCGACGACTTCACGACGCCGGCGGGGGACGTGGAGCCGGGAGCGGCCGCCTTCGCCAACGCCTTCCGTGCGGCCGGAGCCTGCCCGGCGCTGGGCCCCGGCGTTCCCGACCCCTGCGCCGCCTTCCCCGGGAGCCGGGAGCGCGCCGAGGCCGCCTGCGCCGTGCTCATGGGACCGGCCTTCCAGGTGAGGGCCCCGGCGCGGGGGACAGCGGGGACGGGTGACAGCGTGTGACAGTGTCCCCTCCGGCACAGCCGTGTCACCGCGCCGTGGATCCGGAGCCGTTCCTGGAGCTGTGCCGGTGGGACGTGTGCTCCTGCCGGGAACGGGACCGGGAGCGCTGTCTGTGCCCCGCGCTGGGAGCCTACGGCCGGGAATGCGCCCGGGAGGGAACCGAGCTGGAGTGGAGGAACCGGAGCCTCTGCGGTGGGATGGGATTGGGAATGGGATCGGGGGGATGGGATCAGTGGGATGGGGAATGGGATTGGGAATGGGATCAGTGGGATGGGATCGGGAATGGGAATGGGATCAGTGGGGTGGAATGGGATTGGGAATGGGATCACTGGGATGGGATCAGTGGGATGGGATTGGGAATGGGATCAGTGGGATGGGATCAGTGGGATGGGATTTGGAATGGGATCAGTGGGATTGGGAATGGGATTGGGAATGGGGTCACTGAGATGGGATCAGTGGGATGGGATTGGGAATGGGATCAGTGGGATGGGGAATGGGATTGGGAATGGGATCACTGGGATGGGATCAATGGGATGGGATTGGGAATGGGAATGGGATCAGTGGGGTGGGATGGGATTGGGAATGGGATTGGGAATGGGATTAGTGGGATGGGATCAGTGGGATGGGACGGGATGGGACCGGATGGGGTGACGTCTGCCCCCCCGGTGACCCCTCCGTGCCCCCCCAGACGAGCCGTGTCCCGGGGGGCAGCAGTACCGGGACTGCGGGGGTCCCTGCGGCCGTTCCTGCTCAGAGCCCCCCGGAGCCAGTGACTGTCCCCCTCCGGACACCCTCTGTGTCCCCGGCTGTCGCTGCCCCCCGGGGCTGCTGCTGGCCCAGGGGGGTCAGTGTGTCCCCCCCGCCGCCTGCCCGTATCCCCGCGGCGCCCGCCTGTACCCCCCCGGCCCCCGCATCCGCCGCGGCTGCCAGGCCTGGTGGGTCCCGGGGGAATCTGGGGGTCGCGGGGAGGTTTGGGGGGCTGGAGGGTCACCCAAAGGACGGGGGTCGCGCAGGCAGGATGTGGCGGTGACGGCGACGCGCGATGAAATCCCCTCCGGCCCGGTGTGACACCCCGCGGGACGGGGGGGCTTTTGTCCCGTGTCCCACCGTGGGGACAGCGAGGGACCCCGGGGGAGCCCGGTTAGGGGGATGGGGGGTCCTGCGGAACGGGGTGCGGGGGGGTCGGTGGGGTGCGGGGAGATGAGGATGGGGGTGCAGGGACCCCGTTGTGGGGGGCTCAGCGGGATTTGGGGGGGTGGGGATGGGGACACGGGGACCGCGGATTGGGGACAGAATGTGGGGGCAGGGGCTTGGGGGACGCCGATGAGGGGGGGCTCGGAGGGTCGGGGGGGGCCGGAGGTCGGGTGGAATTTGGGAGATGGGGGCGGGGGACGCCGCCGTGGGGGTCTCAGACGGACGGGGGTCCCTCCCGCAGTGTGTGCGCGGGGGGGTCGTGGCGCTGCGCCCCCGCCCCGTGTCCCCCCGCCCCGCGCTGTCCCCCGGGGCTGCTGCACTCACCGGGCTCCTGCCTGCGCCGCTGCGACCCCGCCGAGCCCTCCGGCACCTGCGGCGGCCCCGCCGACGGCTGCGTGTGCCCCCCCGGGACCCTCTTCCTGGTGGGTGACAGCCCCGGGGGGGTGCGGGGGTCCCCCCGAGCCCCCCTGAGCAAGGTCTGGTCGCAGGGCGGGCGCTGCGTGTCCCCGGACGAGTGTCCCTGTCACCACGGCGGGCGGCTGTACCCGCCCAACGCCACCATCGCCCGCGACTGCAACACCTGGTGGGACCCCCGGACACCCCCAGACCCCCCCTGTACCCGTGGCGGAGCCCCGCAGACAGCCTCGGCCCCCGCGGTGGCACCGAGCCTGTCCCCGCAGCGTGTGCCGGCGACAGCGGTGGCGCTGCGGGCGCGAGGAGTGCGCGGGGACCTGCGTGGCCACGGGGGACCCGCACTATGTCACCTTCGATGGCCGCGCCTTCACCTTCGCGGGGGACTGCGAGTACCTGCTGGCTCGCGAGGCCTCCGGGCTCTTCGCTGTCACCGCCGAGAACGTCCCGTGCGGTGCCACCGGCGTCACCTGCACCAAGTCGGTGGTGGTGGCCATGGGGAACACCGTGGTGCACATGCTGCGGGGTGAGGGGGACACGGGGGGCGCGGGCAGGAGCCGCGGGGACATCCCGGCTCGGTGGCGGGGGATTCACGGGGGGTCACGGCCGTGGGGGGACCCCGGGGGACATCGCAGCCCCGCGGGCTGGTGGGGTACGGGGGGAGCGTGGGGGGACACGGGGGGGTGACCCTCGGTGCCGCCCCGGCAGGACGGGAGGTGACAGTGAACGGGGTGGCCGTGCGACCCCCAAAGGTGTTCGGGGGCTCGGGGCTGGCGCTGCAGCGAGCGGGGCTCTTCCTGCTGCTCCTCACGCGCCTGGGGCTGGCCGTGCTGTGGGACGGAGGTGAGACCCCGGGGGGGCTGGGGGGTTCTGGGGGGGTCCCTGGGGCTGGCCGTGCTGTGGGACGGAGGTGAGACCCCGGAGGGCTGGGGGGTTCTGGGGGGGTCCCTGGGGGGGGTCCCTGGGGCTGGCCGTGCTGTGGGACGGAGGTGAGACCCCGGAGGGCTGGGGGGTTCTGGGGGGGTCCCTGGGGGGGGTCCCTGGGGCTGGCCGTGCTGTGGGACGGGGGTGAGACCCCCGTGGGAAGTATGGGTGGGGGTCCCCAGTACTGGGGGGCTGTGGGGGGTCCCTGGTGCTGGCGCTGCCGTGGCAGTGTCACCGCGGCGGGGCCCGAGGTGCCACCACGGCGGGGGGTCATATGCGGGGTCCCTGGCGCCACACGGGGTCCGCAGCGCTGGTGGCACCGCGGGGGGGTCCGTGGGGGTCCCGGGGGCCGTGGGGGGCTCCCCTGGCAGCCGCGGTGGCCGCAGGGACCCGCGTGTACGTGCGCGTGTCCCCGCGGCTGCGGGGCCGCCTGGCCGGGCTCTGCGGAAACTTCGACGGCGACGCCGAGAACGATTTCGGGAGCCGGGACGGGGCCCTCGAGGCGACCCCCGAGATCTTCGGGGACTCCTGGCGCCTCAGCCCCCTCTGCCCGGAGGCCGACGGGCACCGCCCGCACCCCTGCGATGTACGGGGACACGGGGACACGGGGACACGGGGACAGAGGGACACGGAGGGCTGGCAGGGGGACACAGGGGGACAGGGGGACACGGGGACACGGAGGGACACAGGGGGACACGGAGGGCTGGCAGGGGGACACAGAGACAGGAGGGACACGGGGGGACACGGGGACAGGGGGGACACAGGGGGCTGGCAGGGGGACACAGGGGGACACAGGAGTCGGCGGGGGGACACTGAGGGTTACAAAAGAACACGGGGCTGTGACGGCCGAGGTCACTGAAGGAGGAGTCAGATCCCAGGGGGAGGAGGAGGATGGAGGTGCCTCAGTCTTGGGCTGAATTTCTCTCGTCTCGTCCCTTGCACTTGGGGTGTGCTGACCCCCGAGATTCCGGACAGCGGGGGACCAGGGGGGCCGGCTGGGGACAGTGATGGGGACTGGGGGGACCCGGCTGGGGACAGTGATGGGGACTGGGGGGACCCGGCTGGGGACAGTGATGGGGAGACCCCTCCCAGACCAGCCCCAGCGCCTGCCCCGAGCTGTACAGACCATGCCGGGGGGACGCAGGAGGACACGGGAGGCTGGGGGTGGCCACGGGGGGTGTGGGGGTCTCGCGTGGGGCACACGGGGGGTCTGACGGGGTGTCCCCTCCAGGACAGTCCCCAGCGCTCGGCCTGGGCGCGGGGTCGCTGCGGGGTCCTGCAGCACCAGCTCTTCGCCCCCTGCCACGAGCTGGTGCCCCCCCAGCGCTTCTACGAGTGGTGCCTGTTCGACGCCTGCGGGTGAGTTTGGGGGTCTCGGGGGCGCCCCCAGCCCCGGGGCGGGTCCCGGG